GTTGGGGACCTGGATGGATTCCTTAATTCTTTTGAGCAAGCCTGCAAGATGCACCAGGTCCCCCCAGCTGACAGGGTCCAGCAGCTCACCCCCTTACTGGATGAGAAGGCCGCAGGGGTGCTCGGCCAGCTGGAGGGGCTGCAGCCAGGGGACTATGAACTGGTCAAACAAACCCTGCAGCACAAGTTTGGGCTCACCCCTGAGATGTACAGGAAAAAGTACCAGAGTGCACAGAAAGGCCCTGAGGAGACCAATTTAGACCTTGTCTCCTGCATGGCACGATATGTCCGCAAGTGGGTATTTGGGGTTGGAGCACAGACCCCAGAGGACCTGGTTAAGCTGATGTTCCTGGAACAGCTCTAGGAAATTTGCTCACCCAACCTGAGACTGTGGCTGAAGGACAGGAAGCTGGAGGACCTACACAGCGCAGGGAAGGTGGCTGATGAATTCACAGACAGTTGGTCCAGATGTGAAGGGGAATCCCAGAGAGACCAGCTTCTGGCTGTGCAACAGGGGGAGGCGCGTATGGGGGGGTCCCAGAAGGGAGGACCCAACAAACCCCCTTCCCCCTCCGAGGGACAGCTAGTACCTAGGCGGACCAGCCAGCACAAGGGAACTGCTATGCCATCACTGTGGGCAAAGGGGCCACAAGTGGACCCAGTGCCCCAAACCCCAAGACAGGCTCCACAAACTGAGACTTTCCAGGGTTAACTGGGTGGGGCTGGAGGAGGAGCAGGCTGCCCAAGTGGGAGGAGATGGCAGGCCTCAGCTCAGGTGGGAGAGGCCCCTCAGGCAAGCTCCTTTGGGAGACCTGACACGTCAGAGGCAGGTTTCTCTGTGTACCGGGTGGAGACAGGGCTCCCTCTGTGGAGCGAGTGCCTTGTGCCCTTGGAAATGGATAGAAGGAAGGCCATGGGCTAATGGGGCACGGGCGCAGAGGTGACACTGGCCCGGCATAGTGGCCCCAGACCACATGGGGCCCAACGCTCACCTGACCCTGACGAGCATAGACGGGACCCCATTCAAGGTGCCTGTGTCTTGAGTGCAACTGAAATGAGGGGCTAAGGAGGGCCCCAAGGAAGTGGGGATGCACCAGCACCTGCGTGATGGGGTGCTGATGCGTGGTGACCTAGAGGATTGGCCTGAAGGACCCGTAGCTGGATAAACCAGTAGCGAGCGTGCCGATACCAGAGATGATGGGATGTCTGGGGTGTCCAGGTTTATGGATTTTGGGAAGCAGATAGAACAATCCTGGTCGGGGGTCAGAAGGTGTTTCTGTGTGGATTTGTTCCCGAGCAGCTGTAGGGAGGCTTTTAAGGAGACAGTGTAGTTTCTTTTGGTATTCTGAGGTGGGATCAGAGGAGAGAGGTTTGTAAAATGTGGTTTATCCAGCTGTGTAGACTCTCTTCTCAAACCCTACACAACCAACACCCCCAGCTATCTCTGAGATACTACTGACTTCCTAAGGAAACTACAAAACATTGATAACCTCCCCGATAATATCATCCTTGCCACCATGGATGTAGAGGCTCTATACACCAACATCCCACATGAAGATGTATTACAAGCAATTAGAAACACTATCTCAGAGGACACCACTGCCAATCTGATAGCAGACCTATGTAACTTTGTTCTCACCCACAATTATTTCCAGTTTGAGAACAACTTATACCTCCAGATCAGCAGCACAGCCATGGGTACACGCATGGCCCCACAGTATGCTAATATCTTTATGGCTGACCTAGAACAACGTTTCCTCAACGCACGTCCTCTTTTAACCCTTCTCTACTTACTCTACATCAATGACATCTTTATGATCTGGACGCATGGCCAAGAAACACTGGAGACATTCCACAGAGATTTTAACAACCTACATCCCACCATCAATCTCAGCCTGGACCATTCTACATGAGAGATCCATTTCCTGGACACCAAAGTACAAATCAGCAATGGAAAATTAGACACCACTCTCTACAGAAAACCCACTGACTCATACAGTTACCTACATGCTTCCAGCTCCCATCCAGAACACACCATACGATCCATCATCTATAGCCAAGCCCTT